GGGGGGGGGGGGGGGGGGGGGGGGGGGGGGGGGGGGGGGGGGGGGGGGGGGGGGGGGGGGGGGGGGGGGGGGGCGGGCGGGGAGGGCATATTGTCTTGTGGTGTGTGTCGTGCGTGTGCGTCTTTTCTTGTCGTGTCCTGCTTGTTACACTCCGTGAGAACTCGGCTGTTTTTTTTTTTTTTTGCTGTCGTTGTTGAAGAAGAGAGCCGCGGACGGATGGATCGGACACATGGGAGGGACAAACGGGAGTTTGTGATACCATCCGGTTGCGTCGTTCTTCGATCAGCTCGGACGACCGATCCCACGGGCCACAAGAAATACGCCAAGCCTAAGCTGTTTTAGCGACAGGGGGTATCGGTGCTTTTGGCTTAGGCGCTCAACGCTTTGAAATAGCCGTTGCAATACGAACAGGCGACTCCGTTGGGAAGGGTGACGGTATTGGATTTTGCAAATGGGTGTACGTGTGTGCGGGGGGGCTCGTTAGGCCCCCCGGCGGCTATTCTGTGAACGAACGAAGGCCGAACTTGTCAAGGACACTAAAAATTTTGACGTTAAATTATGATAGGGATCAAGGGGGGGGGGGGTTGGAGGGGAACACTAACCTTCTCGATGTTCGAGTAGGCGGTGTGGCATTTTGGCCTTCGGTGATACCGCCGTGTTCGCTCGTTGGTTGGCTTCCTTTTTGGCGTGTTGGGGGCGTGAAGAAGTACATGGGGAGTGTGCTGCAAGAAACCCTCCACGTGTTATAACTTCGTCGGTTTTGCGTGATGGGACGGAATTTTGGTGGTGCTGGGCTGGGCCCGATTTTGAGACGGAAATGGGACAGAAATGGGTGTGTTCCATTAGGGGATAGATGTTCCATTACAAGACGGGGGTCTCGCGGGATATCGGGGAAGAAACATGAAACAGGGCAAAAACTTGGCGGCTATGTAGGCCACCACTTCCACTCGAATTGTGCGTGCTTCATAGTTTTAATCTCGGTGCCCCGTCAGAGTGTGCCCTCATGGTCACACTTCTCATGCGCCCGCCGGTTTTGTAGCAGCAGTTTCAAGCAGAGCACGAACAAGAAGCCAAGCTTACGAACACTATTGTATACACGTCGGGCACCACGGTAGCAGTCGCGTGTGCTATCCAGAGGTGTGGAGATGGGTACCGAGGGTCACTGCTTGTTCAAGTACCGCAGGGGGGTGTTCCCAGGAGATCCTGGCAGGGAAAAGAGGGGGCGCCAAAAGGTTGCGCAACCGTTTGGATTGCAAGGGTGGACTTGTAGTGGTTTGTGCACGCTTGGTCTTGTCACCTTGATGTAACGAAGCTTGTCATTGATCTTGCTCCAAAAGAATGTTGCCACCACGAGCCACGATGTGCTTGAGCGAGAACACCCTTTGGTGATGTATCTACTCTTTGGAAGCAGCTGCGTGGAGCCGCGCGTCATGCGCCCAGACGTCGCGGCGCTTCTAGTCTAATATTTCGGCCGTTCTTCCATCAGTGTCATGGCGAGTAGCAGCGTGATGGGCGGCAGCGGCGGCGGCGGCTACGGCTAACATGACGGCGCCTTCTTGGCCAGTTTGGCATCAAAAGCATGGGCATGACAATATTTTCAGTCGGCGGAGGCCAACCTGTGGTACCAATTCTAGCTCCCGCTTCTGAATAGGAGCTTCCCCCCCCCCACTTTCAAAGCTACACCATGGGTGACTGATCCAGGTTCTGGTTGTGCATTAGTCTGCTCAAAAGCTGCCGCTCCTCCACGCAGCCCAAGCACCACCGTCGCCATCCATCTGCGCGTTCCTCTCCGCGGCTCAAACCGCATGTAGTCTACCGCTGATTTCGCTACAACTGCTTGGAGGAAAGAAACAACGTCCCCTCTACACCCCCCACGGTTCTCGCTCCGTTCAACGACAAAGAAGGCAAAACTCTCATGAAACCACCGCCTTCTTCATGAAAATATCCCGCGAGAAGGTTCACATGGAACGTCGGTCTCTGACGACGAATATCTGCGAAAGCGAACCACAGCAGCAACACCCGACACAACGAGCGAAAGAAAGCGATCAGTCGGAGCCTCAGGCAGCGCAGGCCCGTTGTGGGCTAAAAAAAGGCCCACGTTCGCTTCAGCCTGACATCTTAAGGGCTGCGGCCTCAGTTCTCAGGGCATGCGGCCTGTGGGCGATGCTGCGGGTTGTTTAGACTCATCGGGGGCACCGCTGTCGAGACTGTAACCGTTGAGCAGAAACGTAGACGAAGCCTCCCAGCTGTGCCTGGTTGTCACCGCCTTCTCGGGAGAAGCCCATTCCCGTTTGCGTTCTCTTTCAGACAAAATGCATGCATATGACTAGAGCGCACCGTCTGCCTCGCGGGTATCGTCATTTTTGACAGAATGAGGTCCAAGTACTTGACGCGAGAAGGAGAAACAAACACGGACACACAGAGATAAGTGGGGGTGAGAGAGACTCCACGTGCAAGCGCGTCTAATATACACACCGCTCGAGGCCTGCCTGCTACAACAACGCACTAACTAATACCATCAACTAGAAGGAAGCAAGTAGCGCAGTATATTCGTGCCTACGTTTGTGTGTGGTGTTGTGCGGAGAGGAAAAGCGAAGAGTTCGACAGAGGGAGACACACGTTCGGTTCCAATGCGAAAAATATGGCAGAAAGCGGAAGAGAAAAAAAGAAAGAAGACGAAAGAGCGCACGCACCATGCGCACAGATACCTGCACCAGTTCTCTCGAAGCGTTTGAGGTATTTGGCGGGGCGTGATTGCTGCAAAAGAACACAAAAACCAACTTAACGAACACATGGGAAGCAACGCACCCGCACCGCTTGAGGAAATCACGCCAAAATCAAACGGTGCAGCTAGAAAACGCGCTACAACAGTACACGGGACCACAGCAGCAACGAAGGCGTCGAGTATCATTGACCAGATAAAAAAAATCACCGCCCACCTTGACAGGGCCCGTAATAGCACGCCTCGTCTCGTAGCCCTACGTCTAAGGATTTGCATCATGCTTCTCAGCCGTGTCGACTCCGTCTTAGCGCCAGCTATAACCTCAGCGGCATCTTGGGCGACAGAGGCAGCAGCACTGCTGGGCCACACCCAGGAGGTCGCATGAACTGCCTCCACCCGCAAAAGTAAGCGGCGGACGGCCTCCAACCTGCCCAGCTGCTTCTCGTTGTCGTCTTTCCCCTCGGTCTCAACGTCACGGAGGATGCGTATCGTGCGATACAGAGGAGTGTCGCTGAATCCCACCAACCCATCCCTGTACGTGTAACGAACGGCCGATTTCGTGTCCGCGCCTGAGTCTACGAGCAACCGCACGATCCTGGGAAAGCACGGCTTGATAATCCCGATGTCGATGCTGCCGAGTAAGGGCGTTCTGCCGAGGGCGTCGCGGGCGTTGTTCACGTACGCGCTAGTGGCGATGCTCTTCTCCTCCTGCCGTTGCTGCTGCTGCTGCTGCTGCTGCTGAAGCAGAAACTTCACGGATGCTTCCATGCCGATTGCGGCGGCGGTGGCCAGAGCCACGCCCGTGTCCACCACCCCGGCTTCGGTTAACGCAACCATGACGTCAACGTGCCCGTCTTTCGCGGCGAGACGAAGGGCCTCTAGACCGCCGGCCGCGCCAAATTTTTCGATCCCTAGCTGCCGAATTAGCTCGCGAACGGCACCCACGCGCCCACGCTCCGCCGCTGCGGCCAAGGGGGGGAAATTCCCGGTCGGGGTCGTTCTTGCCAGTAGCGGGTCCGCGTTCGCGCGAAGCAGCTCTTTGATCGACTCCATCTTCCCCCTCAGCGCCGCCGTGTACAGCGGCGTCGTTCCGTTCGGCAAGCGGCTGTTGACCTCCGCGCCCGCGGAGATCAGCGCTCTCATCACCTCCGGGTACCCTTCGTACGCGGCAAGGTGGAGCGGGGTGAAGCCTTGCGGGGTCACCGCCTCGAGATATGCGCCTGCCTCCACCAACATCTCTGCGGCCTCTAGGTGCCCCCGCTGGGCGGCGATGATCAGGGCCGTGGCGCCGTTCTCGCCCACCATCGACGCGTCTGCCCCCACGTCCAGCAGGACCCGGACCGTGCGGGAGTGGCCCTGCGCCGTGGCGATCATGAGAGGGGTCCAGCCGTGAGGGTCGCCTTGGTCGATGTCAACGGACCCGCCGCAAACAAGAGCTAGAATTTCCGCGATGATATCGTTGTCGGCCGCATCATGCAGCTCGTTCCGATTACCGCGAGGGCTCTGCTTCGGAGGAGCTACCGATGGCATACCGCCTGCGGTACTGCTGTAGCAGCTGAGCAGGGAGTCCTACAAGAGTGGCAATCAATGTGTAAATACTCCTTGGAGTAAGCAAGTATGTTTAGGACGGTTGCAGCCAAGACTACGAGATGGCTATCGTAGGTGACACAAGGGGTAGCCACCCCCTACAGGATACCACACCCGTGTGATACCTTTTGGGCTTCCACCAGTGTTATAACACGGGTGTGGTATCTTGTGTCACCTGCGATAGTCCCGTGGTGGCGGGAGGAGGGAGCGATCGTACCGCGAGAACCAAGGATTTCAGTTGGTTCCGCATGCATGCACGATGCCTCGAGCTCCCGAACTTGTCATGTACGCTTGAACGCTCCACGGAAGTCTCCGCTCTTGTCCATCCCCTCTCTATCGCGGGAGTACTTACGCGGACGCCACACGGTTTGTGTGCGTCTTCATATAGCGTACACGCAAAACAGGCAACAGCGACTACAAACTAGGCCGCTTTTCTGAGCGACCGCGTCAGTGCGTCAGTCGGCAACTCGGCAACAACGTAATTACGCCGCAATACGTCGGCGCTGTAGCAACTGCAGCGACGGCGCGGTGCCCAGTCGGTAGAAAGGCTTGAGGATGCACACTTCCCGCGAACGACAGAGCGTGAAGACCTCGGCGGCAGTACTATCTCTGGCAAGTGTCGTGGCACTCCTTCTCACCGATTTTGCTGCTGGTTTCCTTCCAGCAGCAGCGCCGGCAGGTGCGAAATGCGACTCCCGCTGGGGTAGTCCTGGAGCTGCTGCTCCTGCGGTTGTCGCTAGGACCGCCTGTGCCAAGCGACGTCCCATCGCCGCCGTAGTCAGGATGGTTGTTGGAGGAGGAGAGAGGAAAGTGTTGGAACTAGAGACGTCCGACAAGGTACCCCGAGGGCCTGCCGGCGCCATCAAGCTCACGTGAGTATGAAGAGCAGTACGGCAGTGGGTGATGTGCCTAAGGTCTGTTGTACAGCAGTCACACCGCTGCTGTATCTGCCCAAGGGCGTGCCAAGAGGCCAATGCTGCCAGCAACAACCGCAGCAATGTGTGACAAGCAGATGCCCCCAACGCCGAGGTGCCCCAAAGCTAGTGTGAACCATACTCCACTGCGTTGGCTTCAAAACGTAGCGCCCTGTTGTATGCGACCCGCGGAGTATGTGTGTACGCACATCATGCACTGTTATGTTTGAGAGAACTCTATTATGAGCTAACGCCGTTGATGCAAACGTTGAAAGTATGCAGGTGGGGAAGCAACCCCCTGGTTGTGATTGTTCGTGCTTCGTCCACCGCTGACTTCATTACGCGTCACACACCGTGCCTTCCCCACCATGCCTGCCTGATCCGTCGTGCAATGTATGATACCATGTGCATGGAAAGGTGTGTAAACAGCCGAAACAGTCGAAAAAATACACATGTCGGACCCCATCTCGTCTTGGCTTTTCTGTCGGCGTCTCAGGTACCTCGAGCTCAATAGCTGGATGTGGGAGGTGAACGGGATCAACATTCTAGTGGACCCCGTCTTCGGAACCTTGGACTTTGGGGTGCCTCTCCTAGTCCAAGCCAACAAGCAGGTGAGAGAGCCGCCTTGTGGAGACTTGCATAGTAGTTGCGTTGTAACGTTTTGTTTCTGGCGTACTCGTTTGAGGTCGCTCGGGGCGAGACCAAACCATACGCCCTCTGCCCAAAGGAAGCAGCGACTATTTTCGCCGGAATCTAGGAGCGTGTGATACGTCGCTATGTAGGTCTTTGTGACCCTGGCAGGGTGCCTTCGGCACGCCCCCCCGCTTTGTATCGGCCTCCATACTAAGGCAACGGTCGTGGTTACACAAAGACTCAAACCTGTTCTTTCGTGTGGCAGGTGTACGCGTGACTGGCTGCTGTGGACGCAAGGTTGCCTTGGTTTACGTAGCCGACGAACGATTGCGTAGCTTCTCCGAGGACCTGTTATTGTTCGATCTACTTCTTCTGTACCCTAATGTCACCGCCCATGTGGCAGAAGGCGTCATCGCGGGTACTTTTCACGATTCGTACAGAAAATAAGGAGAAAACAAACGTGTTTTGGTTGCATGCCCACCACTGTCAGGTGCTGTCAGACGGAGAGCGTGCTATGAGGGAGGTTGCTGCCGTTACAGATTTCTTGGTGATCTCTCAAGGATTCGACGACCACTGCCACCGTGAGTTACTTAGTTCTTGATGTTTGCTTCCCGTACTACCATGTTTCAGTGACCACCAGACGCTCTATCATGGCCCTTGTCATCGGCCACACCAAAATGATGAAACTTCTTTTGTATCCCTTTTCACTTGCCCCCCCCCCCCCCCCCCCCCCCCCCCCCCCCCCCCCCCCCCCCCCCCCCCCCCCCCCCCCNCTCGTCCTCCTCGTCCTCCTCGTCCTCCTCGTCCTCCCCCTACTCCTCTAGTTTCGCCCTAGTTTCGCCCTTTTCCGGCTTGGAGACGGTACAGACCTGGGCGTGTACCGGGGGCTGCCGTATTCGGCCATTCTCTCTGCCCAGGTCTCCCAAATATCGTCAAGATATCAACTATTTTCTCTTTTGATGACATCAACTCTTTTGTCTTTCGACGGCATTAACTCTTTCCTCTTTTCGATGACGTCAAATTATTTTCTCTTTTTTTACCCGGCCGTGCTGTTCCTCTTGTTGACCTCAAAATAGCTCCCACGATCAAGGCGTTGTCACGGTTGCTTAAGCCGTCCGTGCGTCTGGTCGCCCCTCCAAGCGCAAAGGCCGTCCTCGAGGTACAGGGGGTCCCCTAGCTGGGCGCACGGGGAGGGGGGGAGGGGGGGGGGGGGGGGGGGAGCCTGCTGCCTGGTATGGCCGTTCGATGGTTTTCTCAAAATGTGATGTGGGTTCGAACGGATTNTGTCGCCATCGTGAATCTGTTCTACAATTTTGCTGCGCGAAATCACCACAAACATGCAAAGCGCACCAACGACTTGTCAGCCCCTCCCCCCCTTTTTTATGTATCACATCGCGTTGATTGCGTTCGCAACGACGGCGACGGTTTCATGCAGGAGCACTTCCCGGCGTCCCGCATCACCTACATCCTGCCCGGGCAATCGACGTTGCTCTCGGCCGGGGGGCGCGCAGTGGAGATCAAGGCCACCACGGGGGCCATCCTCGGGCCCCCCTGGCAGCAGGCCGAGAACGGGGTCATCATCCGTCCCGTGGCAGCAGACGGGGATGAGAAAGGTTTGTGCGGGTGTAAAAAAAAAAAATGGTTGATCGTGTGCTCCGACCCGGTTGTTTCACAGGACGGGGGAACATAAAGCAATTCGCGTGGGTCTGAGGAGACGAACAAAAGTTGGAAGCACACTTGTAGGCGGGGTGCGCTGGTGCGTTGTAAGGCGAGCTATGTGTGCGGGTAACCTTTACCTTTACAGAGGGAGCGGGTCGTGATCGCCGTGCACTCCTGACCCTCACACGCTATCGCGGCGAAGCGTTGGGAAGAATTTCCGAGCCTTGTCATGTTGCAGTCGATAAAACAATGTGAGCTCGCCATACCTTAACAGGCCGGCGCGCTTCGCAGAAATCTTGGTGGATGCTTTCGAAACCTTCCTTCTGCCATTGTTTCCTAACAGACACGGCAGGGGTAGGTATAACAACCAACACGGGCGGTTCTGTGGGTCGTTCCATGACAGTAAAACCCACGACAGGCTCTGCCAAACACCCATATGAGAATTGTCATTTTTGCACGTACGCGACTTTGCACATGAACTTTGTCGTCTTGCTGTTTATCGATGGGACTCAGCAGGCAAAGTATCCTCGTCAACAGCGCTTGTCCGGTATCGTTGGAGGGACCGCCGTCAAAGGTTCCGCTGACTTTGGACAGATGCATTTGTTGGGAGCGGAAACGAACAACAGCGCGGTCGCTTTTGCAACGCCTTGTCCAGCCCACTGCGGTAGAGTTGGTCCTCGCAGGCGCGCTCCCTGGGGAGATCTTGCGCTCTTCAAGAAAGTCTTGTTGGCTCATCTTCCAATTCGCAGGCAGTGCGGTAGGCTCCCTCCAATTTGATAGCTACTTGTGTACAGACGCGCGCATGGTTCTGCCATGCATGGCGCTCTCTTTGCTTGCTTCGAAAAAAATTGCAGAAAGTCAGCAAGGTGCCCAATCTACTTCTTCGTGCTCCACCCCCGCGCCTCCCCCCCCACGTCCTGTTTTTTCCGTTTCCCATTGGCGGCAGATCCGGAGGGAGGCAGCCTCTACTACGAGCCTCACCTCTTTTTCGACGAGAGCGAGCTGTCAAAGCTCCGTGCAGACGTCGTGATCACCCCCGTGGTGCAGCAGAAAGTGGGGCCCTTCTCTCTTGTCTGCGGCGGGTACGTGTGGAAGGAAGGAAGGGCGAGGGGGGGGCAGGGCTCGCCGCTTGACAGACGAAAAAATATCATCACTGCGCCTTATCGAGAGATTGTCTGGTGCTACAAAGCAAGGCCTTCTCCTATTTTGTTTCGGCTCTTACTAGGCGTCTTGTTGTCGTTGTTGTTTGCAGAGGATTCCGCCTCACGGAGCCCCGCCCCCCCCCCNCCTATCGGCATCGAAGCTGGTGACGATGGCAAACGCGCAGGTGGACTTTAGCGGGCCTCTGGCAAAGGCGGTCGTTGCGAGAGGCACTCTTGAGGAGTTCCTAGAGATGGCGAAGAGAACAGAGGTCGAGGTGGTGGTACCACAGCCGGCGAAGACCGCCAGCGTCTGGCCGTAACTTTCGTCGTCGTTGTTGTTGACGGGCTTGTGTGAGGGCAACACTTCGTTTCCTTTCTTGGGAACAAAAGCTTGATTTTTTTTTTTTTTTGTCGGCGCTTCTTTGAGGAGAATATATCGATTTCTTTTTGGGAAAGCTTGAGAGGGTGTTTTTTTTTTGTCGGCGCTTCTTTGAGGGTAATACGTCGATTCGTTCCTGGGCAAAATTACGACATTTTTTTCGGCTATGGCGGTGCTTCCCCCGGGAGGATGGTGCTATTCGTGCTGGTTCCTGGCAAGCCTCCAAGAACATATATTCGGCAATCGGCGGTGCGTTAAACCGAAAGTTTGAGCTCGCGGTTTGTATGGCGTTAGTGTCCAACGAAGATGTTGTGGTGGACATGTTTATGATTGGTCGCGTGGATTGACATGTAGAATCTGAAGCAACTGGTCTCGTTGTGGCCTTGAATCATCATAGACTGTTGCTGCGTGTGGATGTCTGCTTTGGGTGTAGTGTGTTGGGCACCGAGTAACACGGACAGGATATAGACCTTGATTCCTTTGTGCACGGTATAGTCAACCGGGCAGAGAGAGAGAGAGAGAGGCGGACGATTCATCACTCCGCTCTTGGTTCAGTGTGAAAATCAACGAGCTGGCATTTTTGGTCGACCTTGAATGAGGTAGTTTCTTCATCATAATTCGTTTTGACAGCTTTCTCATTTTGGGCGGGTTTTGGCGCGTTCTTTTTTTTTTTTTTTGNCTTTTTTCACGCTCCACGCGCGGGGATGGACACGAAGCGCTTGCACTCTTTTTCGAGTTTACCTTCCTTCGTCGCCCTTGCCTCCTTCGCTCAACAGCACCCCCCCCTTCCCCCCGTGGGCCTGAAATCTGCGAGTGACATGATGGTGATGACCCCGCCCCCCATCTCACTGGGACAAATGTTCCGTCCTCTCGAGGACGGACGCGTTGTCAATGGCGTAACAACTTAAGGCATGCACCACGTGAGTACCCCCCCCCC